GAAAGAAAAGCACAACGACCAGAGGAGGCCCTGGATGGAGCAGCAGTTAGGTGGAGCAGCAGTAAGGTGGAGCAGCAGTGAGGATGGAGCAGCAGTAAGGTGGAGCAGCAGTGAGGATGGAGCAGCAGTAAGGTGGAGCAGCAGTGAGGATGGAGCAGCAGTAAGGTGGAGCAGCAGTGAGGATGGAGCAGCAGTAAGGTGGAGCAGCAGTGAGGATGGAGCAGCAGTAAGGTGGAGCAGCAGTGAGGATGGAGCAGCAGTAAGGTGGAGCAGCAGTAAGGTGGAGCAGCAGTTGGGTGGAGCAGCAGTTGGGTGGAGCAGACACTGACGCAGCCGTCCGTCCGTCCGTCCGTCAGCTCTGCTTCACTGCCTTTGTTTACTGATTTCCAAGTGGAGTCTGTCATCACTTTCTGTTGTCCTTGAGAGAAGATAAGTTAGTGCTGAGTAGAGCAGTGAGCTGAGAGATGAGGCCTTTAATTAGCTGCGTGGCAGGTTGATAATTGATCATCTCCCTCAGCTCTCTCTACCGTGAAGGGCCTGACATCGTTTAGAACAAAACCAGAAACGCTGCTCTGAAAACTTGAACGTGTTATTGACAATATTCATAATAAGTCTTAATGTGAGCTTCACACAGACTCGGTGTCAACCAGTGTCAACCAGTGTCAACCAGTAACTTAGACAAAGAAACCGCTGTGTTATTATAATCACACCAAATGGAGACGTTGACCTCTCTATTTTGGGTTTTTTTTCCCTGAGGGAGGCTGGTAAATACAAATGGACTTGGGGAAATGCGCTTGATGTTGCTATTGACATTTCAGGCATTGGTTAAGCAGTGATATAATTAGCATTCATGAGTCAAGTAATTAAAACATCAATGAGACCGAGCAGTGCTGTTAAGACACTGGCGTCTTCGCAGACTCCTACGAGTCAGCGTTTAGTCTGGCACAAAAACACATGAACATAGAGAGAGCAAGAAACAGACTGAGTGAAATAAATACATGTCTAATATGATAGAAAGAAACAGTAAATATTACTGATGTCCATGTCACCCCTGTAACTCCACTGCTGTGTGACAGATAATCTGTTGTCTTAAAGGTGATGCTGTTTGTGTTGTCTGAACAACTGAAGCCAAACAGCTGAGCAGGAAAATATGTCAACCATACAAACATTAATGGTGACTCTTACAGAACTCTGGAGAATCCTCCACCAGAGCAGAGGACTGGACCAGAACCAACATGTGGATTTATGGGTGTCTGATATGATCTATCTTCACATAACGTCCTGATCAACACGTCACCTGGATTCTGAAAGGTACATATATTCTATATATATTATATATTATATATACTTCTACGAAAAAAAACTATGTTTTCATAACTTGTACTTTCACTTCAAATCAATTATGAATTTTGTTTTTATCAACCACCAAAACCATTTTCTACACTATATTATACTATGTACTATAGTATAATATACTATAGTACATGGTATACTGTACTATAGCACTACACGTACTATACTATAGCACTACACGTACTATAAGAACGTGAGCTGATTTATTCTGTGATGTAATTAGACAATACTATACCATTACTTCATCATCTGCTGGTATTAAATCCAGAAATGTAGACTGAGGCCGGTCCTCTACCTGACTGACACAGACCAAATATGCATCAATTAACTGAAGACAACTGTAATCTATTCAATCGGCTCGAACAGCTGGAGGAGCCAGATAAAAAAAAGGAGTGATTCTGGCTTCCTGTGTGGCTGATAAAGTATGGATGGATGGTACATGAACCTGAAAACAGCTTCACAAAACAAAGATCAGTAGATTGTCACCAGGTCTGGACTTGGTGATGCCTAATGTCAGGCCTAAACTGGAGATGACGACGGAGCAGGCTCCTCCTTCCTGCAGCACTTCAGTAAAGGCCGCGGACACAGAGTTAAACCAAACAGAGGAGGAGGAAGTCACACAGAGCTGGTGTCAAGATGACCACAGACATCCTGGAGAACAGTTGTGACTGAGGATGAACGACTGGTGAACACAGTATTTTCACATGGTTGTGATATGTCCTCTGGTACATGAGCACGTCTGATGCATTCTTCAACACTCCAATGACCAGCAGTCGATTTCTTTTCTTGGCTAAGTGTGATGCTACGGCGCAACAGTCAGCATGCACTGTGCTTCACACGTCCCCACACTGTCTTTGTCCTGATTAGTGAGCAATCAGCCGGGGACGGTTTTACAAAAAGGAAAAAGAAGAAAGAAAACAAAGAGCCCACAGTTGGAGCTGATCACAGGAGTGTGCCAAAAGTGCTTCAAATTAGAGGCATACATCTACAAACCCATCACAAGTATAATCCCCCCACCCCCTCCAAGGCAGCAGCAGCAGTAACAGCAGCAGCAACAGCAATAACAGCAGCAGCAGGAACAGCAGTAACAACAACAGTAACAGCAACAGTAGCAGCAGCAGCAGGAACAGCAGGAACAGCAGGAACAGCAGAAAAGACAGCAGCAGCAGCAGTCAGAGAAGAAACAGCAGCAACAGCAGTAACAGTAACAGGAACAGCAGCAGCAACAGTAACAGCAACAGTAACAGTAGCAGCAGCAGTAACAGCAACAGTAGCAGCAGCCGCAGCAACAGCAGCAACAGCAATAACAGCAGCAGCAGCCACAGCAGCAGCAGCAATAAAAAAAGTAACAGAAGTAACAGAAGCAGTAAGAGTAACAGCAGTAACAGCGGCAGCAGCAGCAGTAGCAGCAACAACAGCAGCAGCAGCAGCCGCAGCAACAGCAGCAACAGCAGGAACAACAGCAGTAAAAGCAACAGCAGCAGCAACAACAGCAGCAGCAGGAACAATAACAGTAACAGCCACAGCAACAACAGCAACAACAACAACAGGAAAAACAAAAGCACCACCAACAGCAGCAGCAGCCACAGCAGCAGCAGCAGTAACAGCAGGACAGTCTTCACTACAGACATCTGTCTAGGTCAAGAAGATCAGGGTTAAATTAAAGTTTAATTCTACATGATGGTCATCTGACTGAAGTAAACAGTCCACAAGGTTGACCAGAATAAAGAAATACATTCAGCGCTAACAAAGTCAAATGCTAAAACCCTCGAGTGAATGTCAACACTGGCTGCTTCCTCCACTGCACAGCACGGCGCGCCGCAGCACACCCTGTTCGTGCAGGTTACTTATCTGACAGGGGTGGATGTGTGTTGCAACCCGCGTGGACGGCCGTTATGCTGTTGTGATAACAAGTCGAGCCGGTTGTAAGGATTCATTCCTGACACGACTGAGGTTGAGGTCAAGTGCTGGGAATACAGACAGAGATTCCTGTCACAGACAGAACCTCAGGTCTGTTAGTACGAAGACACTGACATCTGACATCAGCAGTTACTGAAAAACTATAGTCAACCATAGTTTAGCTGTTAAAACGTTGCTTCTCTTCCTCCCCAGCAGGTGGTGCTATAATGACAGACGTTAACTTTTTCCACTAAAGATGAAAACCTACTTCTATTAAATTATTGGCCATAATGTCGACTAACGAAGATGACGACAAACTCTCGTTCCTGTTCTAGGACACCAACAACAAGGTGGTAAAAAGTTAAGATTCCCCTCGATGTTAAAACCTGAACAAATCTTTTTGTGTCTCTTCATAACTGGGTCAACGTTCTCCTGATTCATGTGTGGACTTAGAAACAGCCTGATCACATGTAGGAAAGAAAAGGACGTAGAGAAGTGATGCTGCTGAAAAGACGTTCTATGATTTATCGTGAACCGTTCTCAGTTCTTGTCAGTCCCAACGACACCACCCTCAGAAACAGTAACTACGACGGTGCAGTAAAAAACAGTCAAATAAAAACCAAATAATGGGACATACGGTGTGTAGTGTGAAACAGTCAATGTTCCAGTCTAGGTTCTCACTTGTAGAACCCAGAGGGTTCGAGGAAAAGTTCTCCAATCACTTTTTACCACTGGGTGTAAAACTGGGTCGAGGAAAAGTCACGTGACGTCATTTAGGATTTGGATTCATTTGAACACTGACGATGAAGATGGAGCCCACACATCAGTCACTGAATTATTCACACCTGTGCTTTTTGATTGGTCAGGGTTAGGGTTAGGGAACAGCTGTAATTCACCGACTAGACTCAGGGGGAGATG